GCTTTATAAGTCTACTGTTATTATTATGTGTTTATTTATTTATTTATCATATCGAGAGCGAACCAAAGATAGAGTTGCAGTCCATTTTTTTTAAAGAACACAAAGTTTGCAAACTTGGCATTCTACTAAATGCCCTTTGACCAGTATTTGGCCCCTTGGAGAGCCTCTGGTGTCAATGTGGGAAGGTCCTCTGTTGTGCATGTGGCAGGGCTCAGGCTGCATTGTAGTCAGTAGTCTGTGCTTTGCTCTTCTCCTCACTTGTATGATTATTGTGTATTATTTTGTATTACTCCTTGATGCTGTTTGTTCCTTTGTAAAGGCATTGAATGTTTACCTGATTTGATGCTGTAACCTACCCTGAGTCCCTTTTGGGAGAGAAATGCAGTCTAGAAATACAGTTCGTTGTTGTTGTTGTTGTTGTTGTTGTTGTTGTGGATTGTCGTGAGTTTTCCAGGCTGTCTGGCCATGTTCCAGAAGCATTCTCTCCTGATGTTTCGCCTGCATCTATGTCTGGCATCCTCACAGGTTGTGAGGTGAAACAACAGGAGAGAATGCTTCTGGAATATGGTTATGCAACCCAGGAAGCTCATAACAATGTTGTTGTTGTTGTTTGTATTGTCGAAGGCTTTCATGGCTGGAATCACTAGGTTCTTGTGGGTTTTTTCGGGCTATAGGGCCATGTTCTAGAGGCATTTTCTCCTGACGTTTCGCCTGCATCTATGGCAAGCATCCTCAGAGGTAGTGAGGTCTGTTGGAAATAGGACAATGGGTTTATATATCTGTGGAATGACTAGGGTGGGGCAAAGAGCTCTTCTCTGCTGGAGCTGGGTGTGAATGTTTCAATTGACCACCTTCATTAGCATTTGAAGGCCTGGCTGAGCCTGGGGGAATCTTTTGTTGAGAGGTGTTATGATGTGCCTGGTTGTTTCCTCTCTGCTGTTTTGCTGTTGTAATTTTAGAGTTCAATGTATTGTCGAAGGCTTTCATGGCCGGAATCACTGGGTTGTTGTAGGTTTTTCCGGGCTATATGGCCATGTTCTGGAGGCAATTTTTCTCCTGGCATTTCGCCTGCATCCATACATGCAGGCGAAACGTCAGGAGAAAAATTGCCTCCAGAACATGGCCATATAGCCCAGAAAAACCTACAACAACCCAATTTTAGAGTTTTTTAATACTGGTAGCCAGATTTTGTTGTTGTTGTTGTTAGTGGGTTGTTATGAGCTTTCTGGGTTGTATAACCATATTCCAGAAGCATTCTCTCCTGTTGTTTCACCTCACAACCTGTGAGGATGCCTGCCATAGATGCAGGCGAAACATCAGGAGAGAATGCTTCTGGAACATGGCCAGGCAGCCCGGAAAACTCACAACAACCCGGTGATTCCGGCCAGGAAAGCCTTCGACAATATATTATTATTAATAATAATATTAATATTATTTGGGGCCCTGCATTTGGGCAAGTTGGCAGTATGTGGGGGGGGGGGGAGACAAGGAGGGTGTCTCTGGGTGGTTGCCTCCCTCTGTCTTTCCTGGAGGTGGGGTTGGTCCTCCCTCCCACTCCCAAACACACACCTTTTCCAGCCAAGGCCCCTCCCTCTTGGCCCAGGGACAGAGTTCCCCCAGAGGTTGTGGGGAGGGAAGCAGCAGCAGGAGGAGGGCCCTCATTCATCCCTCAGAGAAGCAGGAGGAGGAGGAGGAGGAGGAGGACCGGTTGGGCCAGTTGGGGCCCTTCTTCTTTCCTGGCCTCCAGGGTGGGGCTGCAGCACAGAGGCATTGCCTCCCCCCCCCCTCCTGCATTTGCCAAAAAATGCCTTGCTGTGACCCAGACATACTTAGGAGGCCTCACTCCACCCAGCCTTGTCTGGAGGGAGAGGGGGCTGAATTGTGGGGCACCAGGACAGCTGGGCACAGTCCAGGGCTGGAGGGGGCACATGCCCACACTTGTGGCACTTCTCCCCATCTGTCCCTGCCTCACCCCCCCCCCCCGTAACTTGGCTACTATGTGTGTGTTTGGGGGGGGGGGGGCTGCTGCAGTCAGCTGGTCTGACCAATTTGGCTTGACTGCATCTCCCCTCCAAGCCCAGAACTCCCCCCCTCCCCGTACCACGCATCACACTCAGCCTAGGGAAATTGTTCAAGAAGAGCTGAGAATCAGTGCTGTGTGGTCAGTCCAGACCACAGCTATCCCTTCAGCCAGTTGCCCCCCCCCCCAACCTTTCGTCCCACTTGGGGTGCCATTGGACAGATAGAATCCTAGAGTTGGAAGAGACCTCATGGACCATCCAGTCCAACCCCCTGCCAAGAAGCAGGAATTTTGCATTCAAATCACCCCTGACAGATGGCCATCCAGCCTCTGTTTAAAAGCTTCCAAAGAAGGAACCTCCACCACACTCTGGGGCAGAGAGTTCCACTGCTGAACGGCTCTCACAGTCATAGAATCATACAATCCTAGAGTTGGAAGAGACCTCCTGGGCCATCCAGTCCAACCCCATTCTGCCAAGAAGCAGGAATTTGCATTCAAATCACCCCTGACAGATGGCCATCCAGCCTCTGTTTAAAAGCTTCCAACGAAGGAGCCTCCACCACACTCCAGGGCAGAGAGTTCCACTGCTGAACGGCTCTCACAGTCATAGAATCATAGCATCCTAGAGTTGGAAGAGACCTCCTGGGCCATCATCCTGTCCAACCCCATTCTGCCAAGAAGCAGGAATATTGCATTCAAAGCACCCCTGACAGATGCCCATCCAGCCTCTGTTTAAAAACTTCCAAAAAAGGAGCCTCTACCACATTCCGGGGCAGAGAGTTCCACTGCTGAATGGTTCTCACAGGAAGTTCTTCCTCATGTTCAGATGGGGGGATGACCCAAAACAAAGGGCAGCATCTTAATTGAGGGCAGGATAGGCCCCAGTTTCACCCCCAAGAGTAACTTTTGTGGGGCCAACCACACACAGATGTTGCCTTTAGAAAGACACATGGGCAGAGAGGCTCAAAAGAGTCACATAAATAGATAAATAAACACATAACTTGATTTGTAGCCCACCCCGAAGGGACTTGGGGTGGCTTCCAGCATAATAAAGGGAAACATTCAATGCCTTTAGAAATCGGAAGTAAACAACAATAAAATATAACCATTAAATAATCAATATTTATCTAATCACCTCGCAACAAAAGATTGCTCCAGGCACTGCCAGGCAATCAAATGCTAATCAAGGTGGTCAGCTGAAACATTCACACCTAGCCCCAGCAGACAAGAGTCCTTTGTCCCACCCTGGTCTTTCCACAGCTATATAAACCCATTTTCCTAGTTCCAACAGACCTCACTACCTCTGAGGATGCTTGCCAGAGATGCAGGCGAAATGTCAGGAGAGAATGCCTCTAGAACATGGCCATATAGCCCGGAAAAACCTACAACAACCCAGTGATTCCGGCCATGAAAGCCTTTGACAATAAATCAATATTTAAACCATGAAAAGCCAGCTAAGATAGCATATCAAATCCATTTCCTTCCGTTCCATTTATCAGTGTTGGAAGCGTGATTCCTTTTTCTCCTCATACATCACATGTTTTAAGTTGCTTTTAAAAAATGAGTAAATTTTGATCTCCTGTGGGGGGCATTCCAAAGATGGGGGGACAAGCACTGAGAAGGCCCCCTCTCTCATTCCCACCAGCTGTGCTTAGGACGGAGGTGGGACTGAGAGTAGACCCTCCTCGGCTGATCCAAGAGCCTGGGCAGGTTTGTACCAGGAGATGCGGTCTTCTAGATAGCCTGGGCCCAAACGGTTTGCTCGTTCCCAAGTTTCCTGTCCCAATTCAAGGTGCAGGTTATTACCTACCTGCCTATCTTCAGGACCTGCCTATCTTCGTGACTGCATCCTCCCCTACGAGCCTGCACGGTCCTTAAGATCTTCCGGGGATGCTCTTCTCTCGCTCCCACCCCTGTCTCAGGTGCAGTTGTTGGGGATGAGAGAAAGAGCATTCTCGGTGGTGGCCCCTCGTCTCTAGAACCCCCTCCCCAGGGAGATTAGGCTGGCCCCCTCCCTACCCACATTCTGTAAGGAATTAAAAATGTGGATGAATTAAAGATCTGGAATGTGTCCAGAGGAGGGTGACTAAAATGATTCAGGGTCTGGAGAACAAGCCCTATGAGGAGCGGCTTAAGGAGCTGGCCATGTTTAGCCTGAAGAAGAGAAGAATGAGAGGAGACATGATGAGGGCCATGGATAAATATGTGAGAGGAGGTCATAGGGAGGAAGGAGCGAACTTGTTTTCTGCTTCCCTGGAGACTAGGACACAATGAAGCAATGGCTTCAAACTACAAGAGAGGAGATTCCATCTGAACATGAGGAAGAACTTCCTGACTGTGAGAGCTGTTCAGCAGTGGAACTCTCTGCCCTGGAGTGTGGTGGAGGCTCCTTCTTTGGAGGCTTTTAAACAGAGGCTGGATGGCCATCTGTCAGGGGTGATTTGAATGCAATATTCCTGCTTCTTGGCAGAATGGGGTTGGACTGGATGGCCCATGAGGTCTCTTCCAACTCTTGGATTCTAGGATTCTATGTTTCGTTGTGCATTCAACTGACGACTCCTGTGACAGATGATCTGAATCATGACCTGAATCCAAATTCCTATTTTTCATTACTACATTTTAATTGCTCTATTTCCATGCTATTTTCTATGCTACTATATGTCTCTATCCAGCTTATTGACCACCCTATTCTTTAACTAGTTTTGCATATTGCAAAACCCCCTCCCTCCCAAAATGAGTCTGTTGATGCTTGTTTATTATTGTTTATGCTGTTTTATGCCATTTCAATATGTTATTGTTCTGTTTTTAATTGTATCTTGCCTTGGGCTTGGCCCCATGTGAGCCGTCCCGAGTCCCCTCAAGGAAATGAGGCGGGTTCGAAAAATTATCTTAGTCTTCTTTTTTGCTGTGGAAGGAGCTCTGCTTGTTCTGTGGGCCTACTCAACCCCTTCTCCCCCCTTCCCTCCTTCTTTCTCTGCAGATTCCTTTGTGAACAGCCAGGAGTGGACACTCAGCCGCTCGGTGCCGGAGCTCAAAGTGGTGAGTGACAGACTGACCGCGGGGGGGGGGGGGGGGGGGGCAATCATGGAGAAGTCCTGGGAAGGGGGGGCATGGGTGGCAATCACTCGATGGGGTGCGACTGAGGAGGCCTTTGACTACAGCAAAGTGGTGAGTGACAGACTGACCGCAGGGGGGGTCATGGGGGCATGGCGGGGGGGGGCATGGGTGGCGGTCACTTGATGGGGTGTGACTGAGGAGGCCTTTGACTACAGCAGTGCCCTGTGGGATCCCCTGAACGCTGGCCCTGCAGAGCGAAAGGCCTCAACTGAGGGAGGGTCCCTTGATTGATATCCAAGTTTGTCTCACAAAACTGCTGGAATTGTGGGATTTGCACACCTGGAGTACCTGGTTTGACCCTTTCTGAGTTGCAGAGATCTTAGTTTCTGAAAAGGGAAATGGCGCCACCTGTTGGCTCTTCGTGACTGAGAGGGAGGCGGTGGTGGTGGTGGTGGTGGGGGGGGTCATCAGCCATTCATAGTCTCTTTCCAAAATGCAAGGGGAAGAGAGGGGTGTGATCAGCTGTTAGTGTTGCACTCCAGGTCAGGAAGAAGCCCTCTGATTTTAAAACACGCCACACAAAGAGTGAAGAAACAAAATCTTCTTTTATTGAAGTTTAGTATATAGCCAGAAGAAATAAATGCTTGTAAGAAAACAAGAAAGTTCCAAAAAGTAACAAGTCCATAAAAATAGTAACACAAAGCAATGTCCACCCAAGATATAAAAGCAATCCAAGACAGCATTTAACCAGACGGGAATCAACAGGATGCAAAGGCAATCCAAAAGGCTAAAAAACTCCACAGGAACAAGACCCCTTGAACAGGATTTCCATGGCACATCAACTTGGTTTCCAAACGATGCCTGATCTAACAGGTTTCCCCTTGAGGCAAACTTTATATCCCAAAACTCAAAAATTGGTTTCGCTTTCCCCCACATTTACCCCTTATCAGACGCAGCCTGTCAGAGTGAAATAAACACTGAATTTGCTGACAATCCTGGCTAATCTCCAGCCGCCTATTCTTCAGCTCCCTAAAATTCCCAGGTGTCAGATTGTTTTCCAAACCCAAATCTTGAGAGCTCACAGAGAGAGGGAGTGAGCCATCATTGCTAGGCCCAGCAGGAATATTCTCATGAGAAACTGCCCTTTGCACTGAGGCCTCTCTGTCATTGTCTGCATGAAAATCATTGACCAAACCATCTCCATCTTGTACCTCAGCCTCGGCACCATCATTTCCCTCATCATTTCCCACATCAGGATCCTGAAACACAAACACAGGCTGATTCTCAACAGTTAGCACAGGGACTGTGGCGCAGCTGGCTGGGAGTCAGCTGCATTAAGATCACTACTGACCAAAAGGTCATGAGTTCAAAGCCAGCTCAGGTTGGAGTGAGCTTCTGACCAATTTGTGTAGCTTGCTGTCAACCTTTGCAGCCCAAAAGACAGTTGCACCTGTGAAGTAAGAAATTTAGCTACCGCTTATGCGGGGAGGCTAATTTACGCTGCCATAAAAATCTCAAGCAAGCATGGAAAGAATGAGGAAGTACTTCATCAGTGTCACAAATGGACGGTGAAGCAACAGCTCCCCTGGTGGCCAGAATACCCTCATGAAAAGCTGGAATGTTAAATAGCCTCTGTTGTGTGTCTATGGCATTGAATGTTTGCTATGTATATGTACATCGTAATCCACCCTGAGTCCCCAGCGGGGTGAGAAGGGCAGAATATCAATACTGTAAATAAATAAATAAATAAATAAATAAATAAATAAGGGTCCAGGAGCGATTGGGCAGCATGAGTCTGGGTCTACGTCCATCTCTCCTCTGGGATCCAGTGTGCTTTTTGCCTGGAGGGGCCTGTTGTGTCCCACTTTCCCTGCCCCCACAACCCCCTGGCACTCTGGGATTTGTAGTTGCATCTCTTTGGCTGAGGATTCAAAATACCTTGTGATCCAGGACACCTCAGCATTGTGGCGCCACGGTAGCAGTGGAAAAGGGACCACAGTGTGGGAATTGTGTCTCTAAAGGACTGTGGTGGGTCCGATTATCTCCTCATGGAATAGAATTGGATCCTAGTTGGAAGAGACTGCATGGGCCATCTAGTCCAACCTCCTCCTGATCCCACTCCTTTCCCTACTGGGCCCCCACCCGCCCCCCCCCCAAGCGCAGGGGTCCTTAACCTGGTCTTTGTCTCACAGGGGATTGTGGGAAACCTCTCCAGTGGGAAGTCGGCCCTGGTGCATCGCTACCTGACGGGCACCTACGTCCAGGAGGAGTCCCCCGAAGGTGAGCCCCCCTGGGGGAGGGGGCAAAGTGGGGGGGAGGATTGTGGGGGCAGGTGGGAGAGGTGGTTCCTGTTGTGGAGGGGGGGTTGGCGGAGGGAGGGAGGGTGGTCCAGGCCTCAGGCCAGTCTGACCCCTGACACCCTTTGTCCTCCTCCTCAGGCGGCCGGTTCAAGAAGGAGATTGTGGTGGACGGGCAGAGCTACCTGCTGCTGATCCGGGATGAAGGAGGGCCCCCTGAGCTGCAGGTGAGGCTTCCCCCCCCCCACACCCCTGGGGAATGGCTGGGTTGCCTTCATGGGGGGGTCTTCAAGGACAGTTGGTGGGGGCGTCCCTGCCTGGCTGAAGTGGGTCGACTGGGCGGCCTTTGGGGTCTCGTCCACCACAAAACCCTGTGGCCTCTCTCCGCAGTTTGCGGCCTGGGTGGACGCGGTGGTCTTTGTCTTCAGCCTGGAGGACGAGATCAGCTTCCAGACCGTCTACAACTATTACGTCCGGCTCTGCAGCTACCGCAACACCTCCGAGGTGCCGATGGTCCTGGTGGGCACTCAAGGTGAGACCCTGGGGGAGCGGCCGGGGACAGGCAGATGTTTGGTCATTCCACTGGTTCTCAACCTTCCGAATGCCGTGACCCCTTAACACAGTTCCTCATGTTGTGGTGACCCCAACCATAACATTATTTTCATTGCTACTTCATAACTGTAATTTTGCTACTGTTGTGAATCGCCCCAATTTGAATACTGGTGGGGATATGAGGGGATTGATTTTGTCATTTGGGAGTTGTAGTTGCTGGGATTTATAGTTAACCTACAATCAAAGAGCATTCTAAACTCCATCAATGACAGAATTGAACAAAACTTAGCACACAGAACTCCCATGGTCAACAGGAAATACTGGAAGGGTTTCATGGCCATTGATCTTGAGTTTGGGAGTTGTAGTTCACCAAGGGGCGGCTTGTCCATTACGCAAAGTAAGCGGTTGCAGTACACTTTTTTTTGCCAGGGGCGCAGAGGCGCCTCTGTAAATGCCCCTCGACCGCCACTTGAGGAGCGACCCCTCGGCTCCACCAATGATGGAATTGAACCACCAAATATGGCACACAGAACTCCCACGACGAACAGAAATTATATGTCAATGATTGGTTGGGGGGGGGGCACCAAAATACTGTTTGCTTACCATTGAAAATTACCTAGGGCCGCCTCTGAGTTCACCTACATCCAGAGAGCGCTGTGGAGTCAAAACAATGATGGATCTGGACCAAACTTGGCATGAACACTCAATATGCCCAAATGTAAACACTGGTGGTGTTTGGGGGGAAATAGACTTTGACATTTGGGAGTTGGTCAATACAGGAGCTGGGGGAGGGGCATATTGGGGGGGCGGGCAGAGTGGCCCCTTCATGCTAATGCTGTTAAAAAAAACCCCTCTGTTTTTAATGTTTCAAGCTTTACACTCCTGCTCTGTGACTAGAACAACAAAATTCATCCAGTTTTGATTTTTGGTACCTGTAGCCTCCAGGTGTTTTGGACTTCATCTCCCAGAATGCCTGGCCATTGGAGAAGCTGGCTAGGGCTTCTGGGAGATGGAGTCCCATTGGAGGGCTGCAAGCTGTGCAGGCCTGGCATGTAGTACAGTCCCAGGAGTGAAAGAGGCAGTATGTCACAGCAAACAAGATGTCTATGCAAGATGAGTCCATAGCAGACACTCTGCTGGCTGTTGTATTGGATTATTGTTATTATTATTATTATTATTATTATTATTATTATTATTTGAAACACAACAAGATGAGTCCACAGCAGACACTCTTCTGGCTGTTGAATTGGATTATTATTATTATTATTATTATTGTTTGAAACACAACAACATGAGTCCACAGCAGACACTCTGCTAGCTTTTGTATTGGATTATTATTATTATTATTATTATTATTATTATTATTATTATTTTAAACACAACAACATGAGACCACAGCAGACACTCTGCTGTGTTATTAGATTATTATTATTATTATTATTATTATTATTATTATTGTTTGAAACACAACAACATGAGTCCACAGCAGACACTCTGCTAGCTTTTGTATTGGATTATTATTATTATTATTATTTGAAACACAACAACATGAGACCACAGCAGACACTCTGCTGTTGTATTAGATTATTGTTATTATTATTATTATTATTATTATTATTATTTGAAACACAACAAGATGAGTCCACAGCAGACACTCTGCTAGCTGTTGTATTAGATTATTGTTATTATTATTATTTGAAACACAACAACATGAGACCACAGCAGACACTCTGCTGTTGTATTAGATTATTGTTATTATTATTATTATTATTATTATTTGAAACACAACAACATGAGACCACAGCAGACACTCTGCTGTTGTATTAGATTATTGTTATTATTATTATTATTATTATTATTATTATTTGAAACACAACAACATGAGTCCACAGCAGACACTCTGCTAGCTGTTGTATTAGATTATTGTTATTATTATTATTTTAAACACAACAACATGAGACCACAGCAGACACTCTGCTGTTGTATTAGATTATTGTTATTATTATTATTATTATTATTATTATTTGAAACACAACAAGATGAGTCCACAGCAGACACTCTGCTAGCTTTTGTATTGGATTATTATTATTATTATTATTTGAAACACAACAACATGAGACCACAGCAGACACTCTGCTGTTGTATTAGATTATTGTTATTATTATTATTATTATTATTATTATTATTATTATTATTATTATTTGAAACACAACAACATGAGTCCACAGCAGACACTCTGCTAGCTGTTGTATTAGATTATTGTTATTATTATTATTTTAAACACAACAACATGAGACCACAGCAGACACTCTGCTGTTGTATTAGATTATTGTTATTATTATTATTATTATTATTATTATTATTATTTTAAACACAACAACATGAGTTCACAGCAGACACTCTGCTGTGTTATTAGATTATTATTATTATTATTATTATTATTATTATTATTATTATTGTTTGAAACACAACAACATGAGACCACAGCAGACACTCTGCTGGTGTATTAGATTATTGTTATTATTATTATTATTATTATTATTATTATTATTATTATTATTTGAAACACAACAAGATGAGACCACAGCAGACACTCTGCTGTTGTATTAGATTATTATTATTATTATTATTATTATTATTATTATTATTATTGTTTGAAACACAACAACATGAGTCCACAGCAGACACTCTGCTAGCTTTTGTATTGGATTATTATTATTATTATTATTATTTTAAACACAACAACATGAGACCACAGCAGACACTCTGCTGTTGTATTAGATTATTGTTGTTATTATTATTATTATTATTATTATTATTATTATTATTATTATTTGAAACACAACAAGATGAGTCCACAGCAGACACTCTGCTAGCTTTTGTATTGGATTATTATTATTATTATTATTTGAAACACAACAACATGAGACCACAGCAGACACTCTGCTGGTGTATTAGATTATTGTTATTATTATTATTATTATTATTATTATTATTATTATTATTATTTGAAACACAACAACATGAGACCACAGCAGACACTCTGCTGTTGTATTAGATTATTGTTATTATTATTATTATTATTATTATTATTATTATTATTATTATTTGAAACACAACAAGATGAGTCCACAGCAGACACTCTGCTAGCTTTTGTATTGGATTATTATTATTATTATTATTTGAAACACAACAACATGAGACCACAGCAGACACTCTGCTGGTGTATTAGATTATTGTTATTATTATTATTATTATTATTATTATTATTATTATTATTTGAAACACAACAACATGAGACCACAGCAGACACTCTGCTGTTGTATTAGATTATTGTTATTATTATTATTATTATTATTATTATTATTATTATTATTTGAAACACAACAAGATGAGTCCACAGCAGACACTCTGCTAGCTTTTGTATTGGATTATTATTATTATTATTATTTGAAACACAACAACATGAGACCACAGCAGACACTCTGCTGTTGTATTAGATTATTGTTGTTATTATTATTATTATTATTATTATTATTATTATTATTATTTGAAACACAACAAGATGAGTCCACAGCAGACACTCTGCTAGCTTTTGTATTGGATTATTATTATTATTATTATTTGAAACACAACAACATGAGACCACAGCAGACACTCTGCTGGTGTATTAGATTATTGTTATTATTATTATTATTATTATTATTATTATTATTATTATTATTTGAAACACAACAACATGAGACCACAGCAGACACTCTGCTGTTGTATTAGATTATTGTTATTATTATTATTATTATTATTATTATTATTATTATTATTTGAAACACAACAAGATGAGTCCACAGTAGACACTCTGCTAGCTGTTGAATTGGATTATTATTATTATTATTTTAAACACAACAACATGAGACCACAGCAGACACTCTGCTGTGTTATTAGATTATTATTATTATTATTATTATTATTATTATTATTATTATTATTATTATATGTTGTTTTCGAAGGCTTTCATGGCCAGAATCACTGGGTTCTTGTAGGTATTTCGGGCTGTATGGCCATGTTCTAGAGGCATTCTCTCCTGACGTTTCGCCTGCATCTATGGCAGGCATCCTCAGAGATAGAGGGCTATCATCCAGTCCAACCCCATTCTGCCAAGAAGCATTCAGAGCACCCCTGACAGATGGCCAGCCAACCTCTGCTTCAAAGCCTCCAAAGAAGGATCCTCCACCACCTCACAACCTCTGAGGATGCTTAATAATAATAATATTATTATAATAAAACTTTATTTATACCCCGCTACCATCTCCCCAAGGGGACTTGGGGCGGCTTGCATGAGGCCAAGCCCAACAACACATCAGTAAAAACAAAACAGCAAGCAAATAAAACAATACAATTAATATAACTCACATATAAACAATAACACAGAGAATTTAAAACCAGAGTCGGGGGGCCACCACAGAGAAGGCCCTGCTTGCGATAGATTCAGGCAAAGCGTCAGGAGAGAATGCCTCTAGAACATGGCCATATAGCCTGAAAAACCTACAGCAACCCATCATCATCATCATCATTATTATTATTCCTGTTGATGGGGCCCTGGAGTGCTAACCTCCTGCTACCTATGGGCTGTTTGTGGGGACGGGGATGGGGGGGGGGCTTCAGCACCTCCTCCTCGTCCTGCTCCTTGCTGTGAGGTTCCTTGAGTGGGAGGGGCATGCGGTGACACTCCAACACATCCCTCTTTTAAACCCCCACCCTCCCACCAGATGCCATCAGTGCCAGCAACCCCCGGGTGATTGACGACTCCAGAGCCAGGAAGCTCTCCAATGACCTGAAGCGCTGCACCTACTATGAGACATGTGCCACCTATGGGCTCAATGTGGAGCGGGTCTTCCAGGATGGTAGGTGAGGGGGGGGGAGGGTTGAGTGGTGGAGCATGGGAAAGGGGGGGGTACAGGGGTCATTGGGGGGGTGCAGATTAGCTGCAGAAACAGCCTTCCCAGCCCCAGGCCCTCCCTCCCTCCCAGTTTCCCAGCAGAGAGGGCTGGGGGGGGGGGCGTACAGGGGTCATTTGGGGGGGGGGAGATTGGCTGCAGAAACAACCTTCCCAGGCCCTCCCTCCCTCCCAGTTTGCCAGCAGAGAGGTCTTGGGAGGGGGGGTGTACAGGGGTCATTTGGGGTGTGGGGCAGGTTGGCTGCAGAAACAACCTTCCCAGCCCTTCCAGTTTCCCAGCAGAGAGGGCTTCCCTAGCCTTTTCTTTGGGCGTCTACTCCCATTGCCCCCTGCCCCACCCAAAGGCGACCCTCCCCACCCCCTTCCTGGATGACCTAATCCTCCAGCCCTGCTCTTGTCTCCCCCCCCCCCCCCTTAGTGGCCCAGAAGGTGGTGGCCCTGCGCAAGAAGCAGCAGCTCTCCATCGGCCCTTGCAAGTCGCTGCCCAACTCCCCCAGCCATTCCTCCGTCTCGGCCGCCTCCATTCCCTCCGTGCACATCAACCAGGTGAGACCCTGCTGGGGCGGGGGGGGGGAGGGCTTCTGGGGCAGGAAAGCAAGCATGGACCCGACTTGGGCCCTCCCTCCCTCCAGGTGTTTTGGACTTCAACTCCCACAATTCCTAACAGCCGGTAGTCCAAAACACCTGGAGGGAGGGAGGGCCCAAGTTGGCCCATGCCTACTGTAAAGGCTCAATTTTCCCAGGGTTGCCAGAGGATGCTGGGGTGGGTGGAGGCTCCCTCTGGCCACTCTCCCACCTTTCCTTAATGAGGACCAGCAGGCGCATTTGGTGCCACAATTAACTTTTGCTCTGAAACATTGTGGCGTCTGTTAGATACATTATGGTAATGCTGGCATTGTGTCCTAGACCGTCCTCAGGTAAGGCGCTGTCGGGAGGGGCAGAGAATGGAATGTTGGGAGGGGCTTGATGCCAAGGGCTTGGCAGGGAGCCTGGGCGGAGCAATGCGGGTGGGTGGGTCCCTCTGTGTGAAGGCAGGTCCACCAGGAGGGGGCAGGAACGGGCGAGGGAGGGGCAAGGCCAGTTCGGATTTCGAAGGGTTGAGAAAGGAAACTTCCCTTTGATAAACGAGTGTCTTTATGTCATAGTCCTAAGCCTTGGAGACCACCTGCTCAGTGTCGGTGTTGGCAATCCCAGGTGACAGCAGAATGGATGAGAAGCATAGAATCCTCGAATCCTAGAGTTGGAAGAGACCTCATGGGTCATCCAGTCCAACCCCATTCTACCAAGAAGCAGGAAAATTGCATTCAAAGCACCCCCAACAGATGGCCACCCAGCCTCTGTTTAAAAGCCTCCCTAGAAGGAGCTCCGGGGCAGAGAGTTCCACTGCTGAACGGCTCTCACAGCCAGGAAGTTTTTCCTAATGTTCAGATGGAATCTCCTTTCTTGTAATTTGAAGCCATTGTTCCTTTGCATTCTAGTCTTTCTCCAGGGCAGTGGAAAACAAGCTTGCTCCCAGAGATAACCTTTAAGTGTAACTCCAGCATTGGTCGGCTTAGGGAAGGGTTGGCACCCCTGTGGCGATTCCTTTGCTGCCTCTGCCTGTGTTCAGAATTCCCTTTCCACTATGACATTGGAAACTTCTGCACTTGATCCTTTAAGTAACTCACGATCTAGCCCCCCTCCCGTAGAGCTGACTAGCTACAGAATCTAATTCCCAGGGAGAGGGAGGGGTTCCGGAGGAGATGGGCACCATTCAGGTTGTGTGGGGGAGGACATTTGCAGGTCACAAACACACCAGGGAGAAGCGCAACAGAGTTCTTGCGACCCTGGAGAAGTTAGGATGTGGTAGACTCCATGGCAGTTCCCTCGGACTCAAGGTCCTGCTTGTAAATGCCAGGTCTATCAATGGAAAGACTGCTGCCATCCAGGACTTGATCCTGGATGAGAGGACGGACCTGGCTTGCATCACTGAGACCTGGTTGGATGAGCTGGGTGGGGTAAATCTCACCCAGTTATGTCCACCTGGCTTCGGGGTGCACCAGCAGGCTAGGTCTGGGGGACGGGGAGGAGGGGTCGCAGTAGTCTTTCGGCAGTCCATCGCCGTGATCAGATGTGCTGTTCCGCAATCCTCTGGGTTTGTGTGTGCTCACCTGAGGGTGGGGAACCGTGATAACTTGGGTATTCTGCTGGTGTACCGTCCACCCCGCGACTCAGCAGTTTCCCTGCCTGAGCTAGCATGATGACCATGGGGCTATCACAAGTTATATCTGGACCCACCCATCAGGCTGGACATACACTCGACCTTGTTTTTGTTGAGGACAGCAGAACGGTCAGAGTGGAAGAGCAAAATATTCTTCCATTGTCATGGTCTGACCATCATCTGATCAGTTTTAGACTTGGCTGTGGCCTCTAACCTTCGCAGAGGTGGAGGACCAATTAAGATGGTCTGCCCCAGGAGACTGATGGATCCGGATGGATTCCTGAGGAATTTTGGGGCTCTTCCTGTCATGGAGCCTCTTCCGTTCTAATCTGTGTTGTGAGTTTCGCAGGGCCCCCAACTGGGGGAAAGGGGTCTGGCGGCCACTCCACCCTAACCACCGGCCACTCAACCCCTCCCCCCTTGCCCCACAGGCTGCCAACGGGAGCGGGGCCTTCAGCGACTACTCCTCCTCGGTGCCCTCCACCCCCAGCATCAGCCAGAGGGAGCTGCGGATCGAGACCATTGCCGCCTCCAACACCCCCACCCCCATCCGCAAGCAGTCCAAACGCCGCTCCAACATCTTCACAGTGAGTCTGGGCCAGGCTGAATTTGGGGGGGGGGTGGGTTGCAGAAGGGAGGGGGCCAATTTGGAGTGAGTCGGGGGGTATGCACCTAGGGAGGTCCCCTCTGTCCCCCCCCCCAACCTGGTCCCCCATCTGCTCTGGGTTTCCCTCTCTTCTAAAATGAGAGAAGAATTGGTGTCAGTCAGAAGTAACATTGAGGGGGAGGTTGGGGAAGGGGTCAGAAAGGGGCAGGGGGCTTCTCTCCCCAAGGCAGGACCTGTGAGGGAAGGCGGGAGGCAAGGAGGGGCTCTGAGTTTGACTCTGGGCAGTGTCCAGGCCTCTCCAGGCTCAGCTGACCAGTCCACTTTCCTCAGGGGATACAGTTCACTCCATGTCCCATTGTGGGGCATGATGGGGAGGGACTAAAGCTGCCAGGTTTGAGGGGAAGGGGCTCCTCCGCCTCTTGTCCAGTATGTCTCAACCTGCGGGCCCCTCCCCAGGTGTTTTGGCCTTCCACTCCCAGAAATCCTAACAGCTGGTCAACTGGATGGGATTGGTGACAGCTGCAGGCCAAAAGCCTGGGGAGGGGCCCGCAGGTTGAGGACGTCTACTCTTAGGATTCCGTCCAGGACCCGACCCCCCCCCCAAACACCCCATTTGCTGTCCCTGCTTGCCCTTCACCCTTCACAGTGGGGTGGGCAGGCATTCGTCCAGGCTTCCCCTCCCCCACACTGCCCAGAAGGCTTTTGGGGGGAGGCCTGCTTTAGAAGCAGGGGGTGAAATCTCATGTGGGGGGGGACTTGGGATGGAGTGGGGGTCCTGGGAGTCGCCATTGACAAATTGAGTGGTGTCCCCTCCCCCACCCCCAAGGTGACCTTTAGTGATATCCTGTGCCCTTGAAAGTGGGGGAGGACAGGGAACCCTCTTCCTGCCCCACATTTACACATGGGGGGGCTGCAGTGTGTGCGCTTGGGGCAGGGCTAATGCATTTGCGCGCATGGCCAGGGGTGAGGAAGGGGCCTGGTCACTGATCTGGCCGGCAACTGCAACACCCTGGCCGTCCTGGGGGAGGAAGGACCTGGGCAGGGAGGGGCCACCACTGCCTCCACCCCTGCACTGCCCCCCCCCCCACCATCCAGCTTTGCTTCTGCATCTGCTTCTCCCCCACCAGGTCACTCCCATGCACACAACCCTCGGCCCCTTCCCCGCTATTGGGGCTTCCCTTGTGGCCCTCTCTCTCCTGCCCCGCTTGCCTGGGTGGGCGCCCCATTGCACGCCTTCCCTGGCCCCCCCCCCCCGCACCAGCACTGCTCTGCTTGCTCCCTTCTGCTTCTTTGGGCTCTGCTTCACTCCTGCTCCTTGTGGCTCCTGTGGCCGGTGGCACTGCGCTTGCCTGCTCGTACGCTCGTCTGTTCACCCGTCGTTGGTTCAGCCGTCGGTCGGTCGGTCTGTTGCTCGTTCAATTGTTTGCTCGTCATCGGTTTGGCCTCTTGGCCCCACCCTCCCTGCACCCTCCTCTGGCGTTGCTGTGATTGGCATTGGGACATGCTTGTGATTGGCATTGGAACACGCTTGTGCGCATGGCGTCCTCTGGCTAATGCTTGCGCTGACTCGCCGAGGCTGGGAATGGGAATGCGGCCCACCTGTCCTTCAGGTTGAGGAGGGGTCCTCGCAGTGAGAGGGATGGTCCTGAAGGCCAGGGGTCAGTTGTTGAGGGGGTGGGGAGGCGGTCTCCTGGTGCCCCCCACCCATCCACCCACCCACCCACCTGTCTTGTGTTTTTGGCTCCATGGCTGCTGCTCCTTTCATCCCTCCCCTCCTTGTGCTCCCCCAAACCTCTTGCTGCCCCCCCCCATTCAACTCCAGGGCTGCTCTCCCCTCCGTGTGTGTTTGAGGGGGTGCTGTTGTGCCTTTGGCCAGCAGGTGGAGACAGGCTCCCACTTTCACCAGGCAGCGCACCTTCCGGAGAGACAGGCAGGTGGCCCTCCTGTGCGGCCCGTGCCTCCTCCTCGCTGCCGGCTCTCTCTCGCTGCGCACGCACCCATTAGGCCCTTTCCTGATCCTCACAGGCAGCCAGCCAGCCAGCCAGGCCCCCCTCCTCCGTGTTCTGAGTATAACATGCCAAACTCTTTATTCTCTCGATATTTGCAGATATGTGCCAATGTTTCCAACTTTTCATCAACCAAAAGGCCTTTCCAACTCCTTCCCAACTAGAAGGAAGACCCGGTGGTGGTGGCTCCCCGCAGGCAGCTCAGTACCAATTCTCTCCCTTTTCATTGCCTCTCCAGGGCCGGATCAGGGACAGGCACTGGGAGTGAGCGCAGAGTAGCCACTTGCCCCGCCGCTCTCCGCTTGGGCCCCTCCTCCTCCTCCTCCTCTTCCTCCTCCTCTTCCTCTTCCTCTCCTCCTCTTCCTCCTGGAGGCGCGCAGGAGCCTTTAGCCCCTCCTTAAGCCCCTCTTGGCCAAGTCTCTGAGCGTCGGCCTGCTCGGCCCAGCGGTCAGCCGGGAGGCGCTGGGCTGCCGGACAGATGGATGGATGGATGGAGAGACAGATGGACAGAGGGAGGCCTGTCCACGCGGCTGGCGTGTGCTGGAGGAGCCCCAGATGGGAAGACCGGAGCGCCGTCGGATGGAGGGGCCGAGGGATGCTTTGCCGCCGCTGCTGCTGTTGCCGCCGCCGTTTGCGCCTGCTACTTGCTCTCCAACTCCTTCCTTCCTCCTGCATGGACTCTTCCTCCTCCTCCTCCTCTTCTTCCTCTTCCTCCGGAAAGAGCAGCTCTTTGCGTCTCCTTCTCTTCCGAGCTGCTCCTCCTCCTCACTTTGGGAACCAGGGGCTGCCGGCTCCTTTCTGACCCCCCCTTGAGTGTCCGGTGCTTCTTTCCGGCCGGCCGGCCTGCCTGACCTGACAGATGGACAGACAGACAGACAAACAGATGGAAGGGCTTGTCAGACGGATGGACGATGGCTGCTCCCTTCCTGCCATTCTTGTGCTTCTGGATGTACTGGTTGTGTTCCATGCCGTGACTTTTGCGATATCTTCCTCCTCCTCCTCCTCCTGTCTTGCAAGCATCTTGGTGGATTGCTTCTCAGCGGACTGTCGTCCTCCAGCGTTATTTATTGAGCCGTTTATTTATTGAGATGATGGTGGTGGTGGTGGTGGTGATCTGGAGTTTTTGCCCTCTCTTCTTCCTCTTTCCCTCTCTCTCTCTCTCTTCTCTCTCTCTTTCGCTCTCTTCTCCAAAGAATCTTGTTCTCAGTGTAAACTTGCTGTTTCTTGTTGATGCTCTTTTGTAAGGGGCTCGCTGGGGCCCAGTGACATCCGCAAACTTTGTATGGTGGTGCCGTGTGTTCACCAAATAAACGGTTGGATTAGTAGGGCTGGTGCCTTTCTTTCTGGGCTTTGCCGCCGCCTCCGCCGCCGCCATTGCTTCCGTTGCCGCTTCCGCTTCCATCCGCTTCCGCATCTCACGCCGCTCTGGTCCATTGCATCCCCTTGCCCTATCCTCCCCCCCACTCTGTCCTGGGGGAGGACAGGGGTCATCGCAGGGTCAAGCAGTGGGGGCTCCTCCTCTCCCACCCCCTTCCCCCCCCCCACCACCTGGAGCGCTAATGGCTGCCCCTCTCTTCCTTTGCTTCTGTCTTCCAGTCGCGGAAAGGGACGGACCTTGACCGGGAGAAGAAGGGGCCCGAGTGCAAGGCGGACTCCATCGGCAGCGGGAGGGCCATCCCCATCAAGCAGGTGCGTGGTCCCCGCCCCCACCCCCAAGAGCCCCATTCACCCTCCCCCAGCATCCCAGGAGGGGCCCCAGAAGCATTCATGTTGCCAGGCCCATGTTGCCTCTCCATGTTCACCGCTGCTCTGTGCGTGTGCATGCGTGCGCATGTCTGTGCAAACGGGGCGGTCATTGGCCTCTCAGGTCCATCCCGCTTGCTTCTCTGTGGATAAAGGGGGGGCGGGGGGAGTGGGCCAGGCGGGATGTTGGGGGCAGGGCTTGGTGTTGCTGAGGTGCGTCTTGCTCACCTGTTGTCCTTTTGGGGAGTTCTCTGGACTCAAGCGTCCACCTTGTTGTCCTGGCCAGGTCTCTGGATGGGGCTGGATTCCTGTTGGGGAAACTGAGCTCTTAGGCTCAAAACAACCCACAGTTGGGGTGATTCCACCTTAAATATAGCAGAGTCCCAGAAGTGAACTTCATAACCAGCAGAAACTTACACAGGATGAACTGGGATAAGCCTCTATTCTTCGGGATAGATCAGATTTGCAGAGACAGAACTCTAGGTTCAAAAATATTTGTTGAAGTATAAGAAATACATTCTTGATAGAAAAGATCTTGGAGCTCACACGCTTACTCAGTCTCATCTTCTAAGAAAGGCAAAAAGTCCATGCAGCTAAATTTTGCCTAGAAAGAGGCAAAATGTGCTAAACTACTGAAGTAAAACAAATACATTCTTGATAGAAAAAGTCTTGGAGCTCACTCGCTTATTCAGTCTCATCTTCTAAGAAAGATAAAAAGTCCATGCAGCTACATTTTGCCTAGAAATAGGCAAAATGTGCCTCCTCATAGGTAGAAAGAAAAGCAGAAGAGAATGGGAAATGGTCAGTGGCCACATGGCCAGCCCAGGGCAATACAACTTGAAAGGAAATTCCCTCACAGAATTACATTCCTACATCTCAGGGGAGGAGACCCTCAGAGTAGCCCTATCTCTAGCCTAACTACTCACTCAGCTGGACCGCTCAAGGGCCAGGGCTTCCCAGTTCTCAGTGTCTATGCTAGAGATTTTAAGGTTGGCTTTGAGGCCATCTTTCAATCTCTTTTCCTGCCCAGCAACATTCCGTTTTCCGTTCTTGAGTTTGGAGTAGAGCAGCTGCTTTGGGAGACGGTGGTCAGGCATCCGGACAACGTGGCCGGTCCAGCAGAGTTGATGGTGGAGGACCATCGCTTCAGTGCTGGTGGTCTTTGCTTCTTCCAGCATGTTTACGTTTCTCCACTTGTCTACCCAGGAGATTTGCAGGATTTTCTGGAGGCAGCGCTGATGGAATCATTTCAGGAGTTGCATGTGACGTCTGTAGACAGTCCACGTTTCTTTGGCATCTAGCAGGGTTTGGAGGACAATAGCTTTATAGACAAGCACCTTGGTCTCCTGATACGCCCAAATTTGGACACTGGTGGAGCTGGGGAGGATTGATTTTGCCATTTGGGAGTTGTCGTTCCTGGGATCAAAGAGCATTCTGAACTCCACCAATGATGGAACCAAACTTGACACACAGAACTCTCATGACAAGCAGAAAATACTGGAAGGGTTTGGCAGGCATTGACCTTGAGTTGTAGAGTTGTAGTTCACCTACATAACAATGATGGATCTGGAATCGTTCTAGGAGTTGCATGTGACATCTGTAGACAGTCCACGTCTCGCAGGCGTAAAGCAGGATTGGGAGGATGTTAGCTTTGTAAACAAGCCCCTTGGTCTCCCTGTTGTAGGTCTTTTTCTTCTGAATGTGCACAGATGACTTTGTCATCAGCATACTGGAGTTCTATAACAGTTGTTGTTGTAACCTTGGTTTTGGCTTTCGGTCTGCTGAGGTTAATTTAAAAATATGAAATTAGGCAATCCATTATGGTAATAACCGAGTGCAGAAGAGGGCAGAAGAGGAGAAGATCAAGGCCAGCAATCTATATAAATAAAAATATAATGTTCGTTTGTGGGATTAACACAACTCAAAAACCACTGGACAAATTGACACAAAATTTGGACACTATACCCCTAACAGACCAACGAGTGACCATCACCCCTAAACACACACACACACTCATGCACACAAAACCCCAGCGGAGCAGACTTAAAACCCCCAAAATACACCATACATACACATACACTCATATACATATGCACATGCACACATTCATACACACACACACACATATATATGCACAAACACACACAAATATACAAATATACACACATACATATACGTACACACATATATACATATACACGCACACAAACATAGATACATATACACCTGCACACACATATACATATCCACATACACACAAATATGCATATAGACAAGCACATACATATACACAATATGCATATACACATATAAACACACAAATACACAAATATATACACACACACAATACACACACACATATATGCACAAATATATATGTATATATACATATACACACACACACAAAACACATATACACATACTGAGCCACAGCAATGCGTGGCCGGGGACGGCTAGTAAATAAAAATGTAATGTTCGTTTGTGGGATTAACACAACTCAAAAACCACTGGACGAATTGACACGAAATTTGGACACTATACCCCTAACAGACCAATGACTGACCCATAAAAGCCCCCCAAAAACAGCAGAAAGGACTTAAAACCCCAAATAAGCTAAATGATGAAAAGCTAAATGACAATACAGAAAAAGGAAGGGGAGAAAGAAAGAAAGAAAGAAAGAAAGAAAGAAAGAAAGAAAGAAAGAAAGAAAGAAAGAAAGAAGGAAAGGTAGAAGAAAGCATGGAGGCAAAAAGCGAAAGAAGGAAGGAAAGAGGTAGAGAAGGAAGAAAGGAGAGAGAAAAGAAGGAAAAGAAAAGGGGGGAAGGAAGGAAAGAGGTAGAGAAGGAAAGGAGAGAAGGAAAGAAAAAAGGAGTGGAGGAAAAGAAGGAGAGAAAGAGGGAGGGAAGGAAAGAAGGAAAGAGAAAAGGAAGCATGGAGGCAAAGAGCAAAAGAAGGAAGGAAAGAGGTAGAGAAGGAAGAAAGGTGAGAAAGAAAGAAGGAAAAGGAAAAGGGGGAAGGAAGGAAAGAGGTAGAGAAGAAAAGGAGAGAAGGAAAGAAAAAAGAAGTGAAGGAAAGAGGAAAAGGAGAGAAAGAGGGAGGGGAGGAAAGAGAAAAGGAAGGATGGAAGCAAAAAGCAAAGGAAGGAAAGAGGTAGAGAAGGAAGAAAGGAGAGAGAAAGAAGGAAAAGAAAAGGGAAGGAAGGAAAGAGGTAGAGAAGAAAAGGAGAGAAGGGAAGAAAGAGGGAGGGAAGGAAAGAGGAAAAGAAGGCGAGAAAGAGGGAGGGAAGGATAGAAGGAAAGAGAAAAGGAAGGATGGAAGCAAAAAGCGAAGGAAGGAAAGAGGGAGAGCAGGAAGAGAGGAGAAAAAAGAAGGAAAAGAAAAAGGTGGCAAGGAAGGAAAGAGGTAGAGAAGGAAGGAGGGAGAGAAGGAAAGAAGAAGAGGGAAGGAAGGAAGGAAACAGGGAGCAAGGAAGGAGAGAAAGAGGGAGGGGAGGCTGGCCACAGCAATGCGTGGCAGGTACAGCTAGTACAATATAATAATAATATGATATTAGAAGTACATATTTTATATTACATGTACTATTACTAATCATATTATAATATAATGCTATAGTAAAATATAGTAATATATAATACTGAAATTGTACTATGCTAATAATATAATATATTGTGTGTGTGTGTGTGTGTGTGTGTGTAAGGGGCTCTGAGTCCCCTTCGGGGTGAGAAGGGCAGCATATTAATGCTGTAAATAAATAAATAAATAATACTTACTTAATTTATTGACCGTATTTCTATTCCACCCTTCTCACCCCGAAGGGGATTCAGAGCAGATCGCAGGACACATACACAGCAAGCATTCAATACTGCCATGCACTGACAAGAGGGACAACAGATAGAGGCATATTTAGGCTTTTTCTCATCGTTCGGCATCTTTTGAGTGCTGTGCTTGGTTCCGGCCACAAGGGGGTGCTGTCGCTCCATCTCCTTGCCAAAGAGCTTTCTTTGCTCACAAACGAAAATACCTCCTTGCTGAATGCACTTCCTATTCGTCTACTCACATTGCTGTTTTCGATCCTCTAGGTAGGTAGGTAGGGAGCTGGGTTGAAGGTCCGGAGCTCACCCTGAACTGTCGACCTTTGGATTGGCAAGATTTTCTGCAGCTGGTGATTCACCTGCTGTGCTAAAACCGGCCCATGGGCTTTGAACATGGAGCTGAATGGAAGTTAGTGGTGCCTATGTGACCCTAGGAGGAAAGGCCAGGCGCACTAAACATGTTAAGCCATGAACACACCTTTGCAATTAAGTTCAGTAAGGGTGCTCGATCACTAACTAACCCTGGTTGTCGGGATGATGGGAACCAGAGTCTAGTGGCATCCTCCTTTCTTGCCTGTGAGTGAGTGTGAAGTGGGTTGGAAGGGGCGTTGTCAGGGACTGGTGGGGTCTTGGGTGTGGAGGCCCCTTCTTGGGTGCAGGGTGGGGTGGGAATGCCCCGCTCATAGGAGTCTGAAGGCTGGGAGGCTGTGGGGCTGCCTTCCGTGGGGCAATTGGAGAGAATGGAGGGCTGTGGCTCTGCCTCGAATCCAGTGCTCTCAGGGGGGCTGTGGGAGTGGAAGGGGATCCAGTGGGGAGGGTGGGGAGGGGGTCTTCTTTAATAGACCCCCCCCCCCCAGTTGGCTGTGTAGGGCTTGCCTTGCTGTGGGGAAGAAAGGAGAAAGGAAGGTCCTTGCTCAGCCCAATGAGGGCCAGAGGGATGGAGGCCGGCTTGGAACTGGGCCCACCACTGGGAAGAGTGGGACAGCAGTGCTGCTTTGGCCTCTGGCCAGTGTCCCCCCCCCCCCCCCGAAAAAAATAAATTGCTGCACTTGCCCTGAGAGGAGTACCAGGGACCCACTGCCACTTGGTCTTTTGGGCGACCCCCTTCCTACGCCCCAGGATACCCCCCCCCGGTGCCCCCTTTCCTGTTCTGGGTGCATCTCTTCCTCCTCCTCCTCCTCTTCTTCTTCCTCCTCCTCCTCCTCCTCCTCGGAGGGGGCCGGGATCACGCTGGGAGCTTAGATTACATTTAAATTGCCATTTGCATTTTCCAATCAATACGCGACTTTACAATTAAGTTTGGTGTTAAAATTCTTAGCGAAAAGTGAGTGGAAGGGAGATTTGTGGAGCAAACGAGTCCTGTGGGGGCCATTGCTGCTCCCCGCTTCATTACCCAGCATATTGCTCCTGCCGCCGCTGCCGCCGCGGTTCCTGTGCCGCTCCTGCCGCCACCGCACAGCCCCCCCCCCCCTCGGTTGTTGTTATCTTTGCTGCGGATCCGCCTGCGCCTCTGCCCCAGTGCGGCCCACCCCGGTCTCCGCCTGGCGAGGAGGCCAACGTGGGCAAAGAAGGTCCAGTTGCAAGGGGAGGGAGAGGGAGGGGGGCTCTCTGCCGGTCAGGGGGAGCCCTGAATGCCACCCCCCCCCCCCCACAGAGTCCATGGTCCCCAAACCATGGGGCAATCAGAGGGCCTTACTCTTTTGGTCAGAAGGGGAGTCAGTATGGTCTGGGGTCACTCCCCACAGCTTCAGG